GGGCGGGAGGGCGCGGAGGGCCGGCCTTTGTGAGGCATCATGGCCGCGGCCTCGGGAGCGCGGGCGGCAGTCCGGGGGCGGGCCCGGTGAACAGCCCCAGTGCAGAGAGGCCCGCGCCCTGCCGCCCGAAGCCTAGCGTCGCTTTCAGGCGGGAAAGGTGTGAACAGGGGTGTGCTCGCCCAGGACCCCGCCGGTGTAACACAGTTTGGGAAATCGGCGAAGTCGCCCAAGTCTTTTCCTCCAGCAAATGCTCGTGGATTGAGTGTCACGTAGATAAGCGGAGTGTGGTTTTATTGTAACAATGAGCATGTTGGAAATAAATGGGAGGTGGCAACCTGTTGACAGTGATACCTGTCAGGTATCACCCAGCGGGCTTGGGATGCTTGTGGTAGGAATCAGGCTTGCCGTTTTGCATGCTTGCATGTCCCTTGTTCCCCCGTGCACGACAGTCTAGTCTAAGGCTGTTGATTGTGTGAGGCCAATCGCTAGGTGAGGATCCTCTGTTTCCAGTTCCCAGACCGCGAGTGGAGTGACCCAAACCCACCGCAGGCCGTCACTCACCAGAGGGAGTGAATGGCCAGTTGGGGTGCCGTCCGTGAGGTACAGGATGTGAGGCCCCTTGGAGGATGACAAAAGGAACCGATGAGGTCATACTCCTGCGGGTTGGGCGGGAGGCTGCAACGGGTGAGGTGTGACTGAACGGCAGGTTTGACCACAGCACTGGACCATCACAGCCAGCCGGCGCATTGATGCCAGCCCAGCAAGTGGACTCCAATGAAGGGTGCTGTCCAGGCGTGTGGGTTTTACTCCTGTGCCAGGGATCCAGGGGAGCCTGCTGTGAGTCTGCTGCTGGCTCACAGTCCAGTTGGCAAGCGAGATTTGCATCCATGTGTTCAGTCAGCCCAAGCAGTAGTGAGGCTGATGGCCTGAGAGCCACCCTTGGAGCCCTTTATGGCCAGGCACTGTGTGGGGCACTTTCCCAGGGTGCTTCTGTAATCTCACCCTGACCTTGGGGTAGGAAACGTGAATCTGACTGGTTTGTCCCATCTTGGCCTCTCTTGTAGCTGCCCTCCCCTCCTTGGTGATCTCATCCAGCTTCCTGGCTTTAATGCCATCTCTCCTTGACATCTCCATCTCCAGCCCTGGCCTCCTTTCTCACCTGCTGCCTCTTCCACGTATCCGTCTGTTACTTGGATGCCAAACCAAACCCCGATCTTCACCCACCCCAGAACACTCCTCATGTTCCCTTTACCACCTCAGCACATGACAGCTCTGTCCTTGAGTTTGAAGTCACCTGGATTCCCCTCTTAGGCCTTCATGGAACTCTCAGGACCATTTCTCACCACCTCCAACTTAACGTCGGTCCGAGCCGCCTGGTGAGCATCTTAATTCTTCTCTTTGCTCTCATCCTTGTCCCTCCCCAGCCCACCTACCTATAGTTTTTCTGGACACAGAGTAGTTCTTTTAACTGAAAGATGTGTAAACCGAGGCAGTACGGACTGGAGCCAGCTTGCCTGGGTCGTAAAGCAGCTCCACCACGTTCTAGCTGTGTGGCCTTGAGTAAGTTGCTTAACTTTTCTGTCCTTAACCTTACTCTCGCAGTGCTGTGTGAGAACTGGTGAGTAAAAATGCATCAAGTGCTTAGAACAGGGCCTGGCTGAGGGTTGGCTGCCACTGCTATCCTTGGATCGTGTGACCTCACTGCTTGGACTCTCCTGTCCAGTGACCTGTCTCTCTCAAGGAAAGAGCTAAAGTCCTGGTCTTGCTTTCCCTCACTGATGTGGCCTCCTCTCACTCCCCCTTGGCACACTGCTCTCGCTGGCCACACCACACTTCTACCCCAGGGCCTTTGCTTTTCTCTGTGTCACCTGGAATGTCCCTGCCCCCACCCCCAGTACCCACCTGACTCACCCTCCTCTGCCTTCAGATGGACTCTAGCTGTGAGGCCTTCGCTGCCCACCGTTCTGAAGCTGCCTCCTCTTCCCCAACTCTTTGCTTTGTTTTCTCTTAACACTTGTCAGCTTTTCTTAGTTGTTACTCGTCCATCTCTCCTGCTAAAATGTGAGGTCTCCTACTAAAATGTGAGCTCCATGGGGCAGAGATTTTTCTGTTGTGTGACCTCAGCATCTAGAATGGTGTGTGCCACGTGGAAGGTGTTCAGCGAACACTTGTTGAATGAATAGAGAAAGCTTACAGAGGGAAAGTAAGAAACTTGCCCTGCACTGCCCCATGGCAGAGCTCCAAGCCTTGAACTGCTGCCCCTGGGGCTGGGCAGGCTTTCCTGATCTCCCAAGGAGCACACTCTCCCTCTCATGGCTCCTTGACCCCACCCTGGGCACCTCTTCAAGGCCTCTCTTCATCGGTTGTAATCGTTATCATCTTTGCTGTGTGCTTCTACAATGGCTGCATTTTAGCCTTTTAACACGGCAGCAGGCGTCCCTGTCCTGTACCACTATTTGTCTTCTATCCCCCTGTCTCCGCACGTCATCTTCATTTTAGCTTTTTCAGTCTGCAGAATCATAGGTTGGCTCTCGCTAGGGTCTCTGCAGACCTGCCAGGTGCTGAGGGCTTTGGTTCTGGTCTTCTCCGTGTTCTGTGGCACTGGGCATACTGACCTGTCTGTCCTTCTCTGAAGTGATCTTTTTTGTTGCCGGGAGACTGGCCTTGCTCCACTCGGTGTTCCTCATGCCTGTCCAGCTGCAGCCTCCTTAGCGTTTACTGCACTTCTGAGTCTATCATTGTCTATTGTGCTGTATTTCCTTGATCCTAAGCACCTTTGATGGACACACCTTTGGAGAAGGTATTGTGCTAAATTCCCACTGAATTCAGAAATGAAAGGACACCTTAGAATCTAGGAAATAGAGTGACAGCACAGTCGTCATTGCCTTTCCAATTACGTCCAGGTGGGACCTTGTCTCTTGTTCATGGTAGTGCCTCCCTCAGAGTAGATGGTCAGTGAATATTCATTGAATGAATTAGTGAAATCTAAACAAGTCTCTGGTTTTCATTTGTGTCCCCTTCCAAGTACAACCATCACGCTCTATCCCTTCTCTATAAACTTCTTAAACGTGTGGGGTCTGCTGTCTCCTCTTCTGTCCATGCAACCAGTCAGCCTGCCCCACACGGGCGTGGGCATGCATGTGCATATCTGCACCTGTGTGTGTGGCATGTTCACGCGTGTGTGTCTCTGCACGGTGTGGGAGTGTATGTGTATGCGCACGCATGTGTGTGTCTGCGTGTGCTTCTCCTGTTCTGATGCCTGGCCCTTTTGCAGACCTCTGGGTTTTCAGATCGCTCCTCTGACCTGCCTTCTGAGCCTCATGTCATCCCTTTTGTCGTGCTTCCTTTGGAGTGAAGCTTCCCAGAGTCGTGTCCTCAACTCTCTTGGTCTGTGTTTCCTTTCTGGGTGGCCTCTGTCTTGTGGTTTGGCGACTACCACCTCGCTGATATGTTCTGGCCCTCTGTCTCTGGGCCAGTCACAGTTCCAGAGCTGTGGCCTCAGCACCTGTCGGACAGGTCTGCCTGGAGGCTCTGTCCATTCTCCTCTGTGGGCTCCTGCCCAAATGCTGGAACACGTGTACCTCCAGGGGAGAAGCCTCATTCGCCTTCAGTTCCCTCTTGTCTGTTCTCCACCTCTGCCTGGTCAGTAGTGTGGTTAGTTCTGTGTCTTCACTGTTCTTGAAGGCTCCAGCCTCGTCACCAGGACCTCTTTCACACCTTTGTCCTCTGGCCTCGAGGACTGGCCCCTATACCTCGGGCACAGGTACTGTGCCTGGCGTAGCTGTCAGTCTCGTTTCTCAAATAGGGACTGAACTGTAGCATGAGAGTCACTTCACCCTCAGTGGCTCCTTATTGCCCCCAGGATAGAGCCAGGCTCCAGATGACACCCAAGACTCCCTCTGCCTTGGCTCCAGCTATCTCCTGCGGCTCCCCCCACCAACCCTGGCCAGGCTCCCTTCCCCACAGCCACTACCCCATCCTCTACTGGGAACAGAACCATGCCACCTCTGGTGACCTCATCATGCTGCATCACTGTCCCTATCCACGTCCCACCTTGTGGGCCCAGGAGTGCCCTGGGGTCCAGGGTTGCAGACTGCCCAGCCTCTGAGGCCCTGGTGCCGCAGAGTTGAGCCAAGGGTCTTGCACTCCCCTCTGACTGACCCAGCCCTAGCAGGTGAGTGGATCGCTGTTGCTCTGATGGCCGGAGGGAGGCCGCACACCTTTTGTGTGTTCTGGAAAGGGCAGCTTTGCACCGCGTGCTTGCTTACTTGATAAACTGAGTTAGGGGAATGCTGCGGTGATGTTTAGTGTGTTTTTTTATTTTTTTAAATCCCTTTTGAACCATAAGATAATATTGTTTTTGTGCTTCTGAAGTAGGAATTACAGTGGACAGTTAGTAAGGCATTTAACTTTAGACTTAAATTGTAATTTAGGTTATGAAGAAAAAAAGTAAAGTTTGTTTTGAAGCCTGGAAGGCTCCCTTAGGCAGTATTATTTAAGTTATTTACTACACTGTTAATAGCACTTGACTTTTCGTACCAGGGAAGTGGAAGGTTTCTGTCATTTTGTGACGATGTTTTTAAATCTCTTTGCAGGTGGAAGAAGAAAGGTGCCACTTTGGCCTGAAGACAGACTCGCTTAGTCGTCAGTCATTTAAGCTGAGTGCATTGTGATTTCCAATAATTGAGGCAGTGGTTCTAAAAGCTGTCTACATTAATGAAAAGAGCAATGTGGCCAGCTTGACTAAGCCGCCAGCGTGTGCAGCGCGTGCAGGACGGCACCCGGGTCTCGACGGACTTGTGCATGTTAGCTGTATAGATTTATGTGAGGTCTTTTAAAACTCTGGTCTTTTAAAATAGTCTTAACCACTTTTACTATGGAGACATATGAGAGTCCCTCTCCTCTCCCGCGTGAGCCCGCAGGAGAAGTGGTGATGGAGAACCGAGCTTGCCCCCTCCAAGCGCTGCCCCGTGAACAGTCTCCACCACCTCCCCTGCAAACGTCCAGTGATGCAGAGGTAATGGACGTTGGCTCTGGTGGTGATGGACAGGCCGAACCCCCTGCTGAGGACCCGCTCAACTTCTACGGAGCTTCTCTTCTCTCCAAAGGATCCTTCTCTAAGGCCCGCCTCCTCATAGACCCGAACTGTAGTGGCCACAGCCCACGCACCGCCCGGCACGCACCTGCGGTCCGGAAGTTCTCCCCTGACCTTAAGTTGCTTAAGGATGTAAAAATTAGCGTGAGCTTTACCGAGAGCTGCAGGAGTAAGGACAGGAAGGTGCTGTACACGGGAGTGGAGCGCGATGCTCGTGCCGAGTGCGGTCGGGCCCTTAGCCCTGTCAGTGGAGACGTGCATGCTTGTCCCTTTGGCGGGAGTGTTGGTAACGGGGTCAGCGTAGGGGGTGAGAGTGCTGATAAGAAGGATGAGGAGAATGAGCTGGAGCAGGAAAAGAGAGTGGAGTATGCAGTGCTCGATGAGTTAGAAGATTTTACTGACAATTTGGAGCTAGATGAAGAAGGAGCAGGCGGGTTCACGGCTAAAGCCATCGTGCAGAGAGACAGAGTGGATGAAGAGGCCTTGAATTTCTCCTACGAGGTATGTCAGCAGTCCCTCCTTTGCAGTGTTCTTAGCAAATCCCAAAGAGAGGTGTTTGGGAATTGCAACATCTTTTGAAAGCTGATATTGCAGAGAAAAAAAATACTACCCAGATGAGGAGGAATAACGTTAATGTGGAAAAGGGAAAGCTCTAAAGAGTCCAGATTTTTAAACTTTCCTAATGAAAAGTTTGGCCGACAGGTCGCCCTTGTCCCTGTTCCCCAACCTGAACTGAGTTGGACAGTGCTGCTGAGAAGCTTCCCTGGTGCTGTGTGCACCAGGACTGAGCGTGTTGGTGTCACCCCGTTCGTTTTTCAGACGATTATGCACCATAAAGGCACGCCCAGGCCTCCTTTGAGAGCGCCTCGTTTCTGTGTCCATTCTCACGAGTGCGGTTAAGCTTGCCCGTGGTGCAGGAACCCAGGCGCTAGGGACCATGGGGTCTGAACAGCATGTTTTACAGGATGATTTTGACAACGATGTTGATGCTCTGCTGGAAGAGGGCCTTTGTGCTCCCAAAAAGAGGCGAATGGAGGAGAAATATGGAGGAGACAGCGACCATCCATCTGACGGAGAGACAAGCGTGCAGCCAATGATGACCAAGATTAAAACAGTACTCAAAAGTAAGTCGGCAAGTCAGAATGTAGTGCGTGTTCACAGGGCAGCAGAAGTGCAGGCGGTGGTCTGGGGCAGCGAGCATGTGTTTTAGGGCGGGATAGTCACATGCAATGAAGGGAAAACAAGATACAAGGAAGCACCCAGTGCAGTGACCCAGGTGCAGATCCTCCTATGTGCTTGGAAACCACAGAGTGGCTGGCATGGGATGGAGGAGCAGGGAGGGACTTCTCATGGGGGGAGGGGTGGACCCCTGAGGAGGGGACATTGGTGTGTGCTGGGAGACCGGCAACCAGTGGGTGTGGAGGCCAAGGCTAGAGGTGGGTGCTCAGCACGCTGGCAGGTGATGGTCATGGTCTGGGTTCTGGGTTCTGTGCTGAGTGTCAGGGGCAGCCACTAGAAGCAGGCAGGTGTTGGTGCACAATTTTCGTCTAAAAGCACAGCTCCTGTGGCCTCAGCATGGCTGGCGCATGCACTTCAGGTGGACAGGGTGGGAGCTCCTGGGGTACAGGTAGAGGTGTTCCAAAGGTGCAGGCAGTGGGATTTGCACTTGGGTTTGGGAACAATGGGGAGAGTAGTTGAGAGGCGCCTAAAGTTGTGCCTGTGCAACACCTTTGCCGATGCCGTGCAGGTTTGAGAGGAGTTGGTGTCGGTTACTATCTGTCCTGGCCTGGAGGTGCCTGTGAGTGTCCAGGTCGAGATGTCGGACTGGGCAGTTGGGCAGTGGAGAGGGACTGAAGAGACATGTAAGGACTTGGGTACACAGGTGATACATTAGGGCTGAGGACCAGGGTGCAGAAGATGGCGAGGCATAACGGGGGGAAATTGAGGGACAGGTGGTGTGTGGTCTCCTCTGGCTGCAGAGTGGGCATTGTGCATGTCTGCCCGGGTTGGCTAGTGAAAGAACAGGACAGGGGTTGGGTTTAGGGGTTGCAGGTGGAGATGAACCTGGGCCTCAGCTTCTGGGAAGTGGGGGCCAGTCTTTGCCTCTGTGCCTCCGGAAGGTTTGCTTTGTGCTCTTTGTGTGGTTTCAGCAGTCTCACTCTGAGCAGATAAAGCTGTGAACGTCCTGCGCAGCCTCCACGTTAGCAGTACGCCTGGCCTTGACTGCAGGTGCCGTTTGGCCTGCCTCCACCGGCACTGCTGTGCCTTTCTGTAGCCTTCTCTTCCACCTGGGCTGCCTGGCAGCCTGCGCAGCAGGGCTGCCTCCCTCCCCAGAGCTGCAGTGCGAGCCTCATGCTCACAGACTCCGTAGGAGCTGCCCGTGAGCTCTTCAGATGGCCGGGTCAGCTCTGTGACTGCTCATTGTCCCAGATGAGCAGCCCAGATGCACTTGTGTCCTGTGTCGTGCTTGGCTCTTATTTCCTGTGCTTTTTGTTGTCCTGACTGAGCCCAAAGCTGGTGTGAGGCAGCTCCGTGTTGGCCCTGGCCCAGAGGCGAGTGCCTGACAGGTCTGTGCACTTCTCACCTGCAGCACCCTTCCTGGGGGCTGTCCTGACACCAGCTGTCTGTCCAGTATCGGTTGCATGTGTGTGTTGGGCCTGCGGTCAGTGCTGCTGGGTGGGGACCTGGCACTGGGGTGCCATTCCCTTTTCCTTGAGAGTCATTGGTGCCTTTTTTGTCAAGTATATATGTTTTTAGATTTCTCTTGCTTTTTTCCTTTTGTTTCTAAATTTTTCACTTGTTCTAATACCTGCAAGAAAATTGTGTTAGTTAAATCTTTGCCTTGTACTTTTCCCAGCAACCAGGCCTGTCAGTGGCAGGTATCAAGTAGATAACAAGCCTTGAGCTTTTTTTTTTATGACTGCCTGTAAAGTAAGGAAGGGGTTGGGAGTAGTGTCTTAAAACTGATTTAGAAATTTATTAATTTGAAGTAGTATTTCATATGGTAGTGAGAGTGTGTAGCTCTGTTACAATGAAGACTTGTCACCTGGTCACAGGGAACACTGGTTGACAGATGTAGTTTATTAGCAAAGGTTACCCAGCTCCTGGGATGCCCCGGGCACGGCCACCTCAGGCAGGTGAGGAATCGAGTGCACACGGTTTTCACAAGCTGTGGAGGCAGCAACTGAGGCTAGGACTTGTGTCGTGCAGAACTGTTCCTTCGTGTACCACTGCTATTGTAGGCCCAAGAGTACAGCAGTGAGCAAGGTGAACAGCTTCCTGATGTTGCAGAGGGACTTGGATTCTCTGGGTTGGACCCAGGTAAACAAGCACACCAGTACCGAGCACCGTTTCGAGCACAGGAGGTGCCGAACAGCAGGCAACGAGCAACAGGAGGGGCTGGGATAGGCTCTGTCTGGTGTAGGAGGTGGGGCACTCCCTTACTCCCCTAGTTCTTAGAGGTTGTTTTCAATAGTTGGCCAGCTTTACTGTTCTTATGTGCCATATGTCATAATTTTGGCACATAAAAATGGCACTAGGCCCTGATGGCCTAGTGGTTCAAGTTTGGTGTGCTTCACTTTGGCAGCCTGGGTTTGGTTTCCGGGCATGGAACCACACCACTCGTCTGTCAGTAGCCATGCTGTGGTGGTGGCTCACGTAGAAGAACTAAAAGAACTTACAACTAGAATATACAACTACGTACTGAGGCTTTGGGGAGGGAAAAAAAAAACAAAAAGAAGATTGGCAACAGATGTTAGCTCAACGCGAATCTTTCCCAGCAAAAAGAAAACAAAACAAACATCCAGACAATTCTAAGTGTTTTTAAACTGATGATAGGATGTCCTTGTCTTCTGTGCAGGTCGTGGCCGCCCACCTACGGAACCGTTGCCTGATGGGTGGATCATGACATTCCATAACTCCGGAGTCCCCGTGTACCTACACAGAGAGTCTCGGGTGGTCACCTGGTCCAGGCCGTACTTCTTGGGAACGGGAAGCATACGGGTAGGGGACGCATGGGTCTTGAATTTAGTCTCGTAAGTTTGCAAACCGAACGTGCACATCTGCACACATTGCATCATAGCCAAGCAGAGACAGGTGAAAGGCATCAGATATTCAGACCTTCGGGGCCATCCTTGTAATCTGTGTTGTAATTTCACTATCCACAGAAACATGACCCTCCTCTGAGTAGCATCCCCTGTCTGCATTACAAGAAAATGAAGGACAATGAGGAAAGAGAGCAAAACAGTGAGCTCGCCCCCAGTGGGGAGGTGTCCCCTGTCAAGCCCCTGAGCCGGTCTGCGGAGCTGGAGTTCCCCCTGGAAGAGCCCAACTCCATGGGGGCCGACTTGGGGCCCCCAGATGAGAAGGATCCACTAGGGGCTGAGGCTGCTCCTGGGGCGCTGGGGCAGGTGAAGGCCAAAGTCGAGGTGTGCAAAGACGAATCGGTTGGTAAGTTTCTGAAGTGAACTGTCTCCCCTCCTTGTTGGCCAGGACCTGTCTGCAGGGGTGCTGCTGCATTCCACACCTTCCCTCCGGTCTCCTTCTTCCTGCTGAAGGCCATTTGTTCCTAGTTGTGTCCATGAGGAAGGGACTGTGCTAGGGACCTCTGTCCACTCCTGCATAGTTGGAAAGGCCTGTCTCCCTGATCTTTGGAGAAGGCCCAAGTCTCGAGCTCCAGGCACTCAGAGTGAGCTTCTTCAATCCACCGAGTCAGCAGTGGGAAACTCTGCCACTGTTCTGTGGACCTTCCCTCTTTTTAGATCCACAGTTGCTTTTAGGATGTGTGTGTGTGTTTGTGTCTCTCATTCTCTCTCCTGTGTCTTTCAGCTTAGTTCTACCCGTTCGAGTGCAGTTGTCTTTTCAGTGGGGGCAGATGTTGTAGCCCAGCTGCTGAATCTCTTTCAAAGAGGACTTTCCGTTTTCAGGATTTCCGATTGTCTGTATATTGCTGCCCGGCCTGTCTCATAACTCTTGTGTGTGAGGAGCCCTAGAAGAGCTGCAGGGGGCACTGTTGGTTGCTGAGGAAGGGGTGGTCAGCTTCTGGGGAGTGGGGGAGAAACAGCATCTCGTGCCTTGGAGGGCGGCGGAGGCCTCTGGGGAGAGGGCTGGTTGGAGCTTTGGGCATCTGGGGAAAGGGCAGGGCGTCTCACTGGTCCCCAGCTCTCCCAACAGACGGACTGCAGTCTCACCTCAACGTGTCTGCTGGCGTCACCTCCCTCCGCCATCCAAGTTGACTTCCTCTGTTGTGTGTTGAGGCTTTTCTCAGGGACACAGCCGGAAGGGAGCTTTCCCTTTAAGACTTTAACTTAATGGTTTATTTCTTCATACCGTCTTTTATGCACACGTAATTCCTGAATGTGGTCCTGTTTTTCTGAAAACACCTGCTCCCACTTCTCACGTCACTCCTTTGTGAGAGGTGACCACTGGTACTTGTTTCTAGACTCACTTCTCTGCGTTCATATGTAAAGAAATATGTAGTTCCAGTCTGTAATTAAGTAGGTGCAAGTATATCGTTTTGTAGCCTTTTGTTTTAACTGTATACATCTCAGTCTTCCCACTCGGAACACCTCCCTCTACCTTGTCTGGCTGGCACTGCTCTTCGGGCTGGTCGTGAGCCTCAGCAGACCCTGCTCAGGGTTTACACTGGAGTAATGGGAGGCCGGTGGGAACAGAGAGGCCCGTGCGAACCTCTAGGACGTCTGGGGGAGAGGGTGGGAGAGGGTGCAGCAGTAAAAGCAGGAGGTCCCCTGGGGACCTCACTGAATGGGGGTGGGCACCCAGGTGAGCTATAGGACTGAGCCAGGGACCACGTGCAAGGAGGCATGACGAGTGCCAAGGCCCGAGCTGCCTGGGTGTGTTGCTGAGTGCAGAGGTGGCCATGGTGGCTGGAGGGAAGAGCATGAGGTGGGCGGTTGGTGCACAGTGCCTTGGCTGCTCTTGGTGGTCAGGTACCTGTTTTGATACAGGGAGAAAGGCCCTGAAGGCCATCTCTAATTTTTCTTTTTTTTTAAGCTTGCTTTTTCTTTTTTTCTTTTTGTATTCTTGTTCTTGCTTCATATAAACTAAAACGACATTCTAGAAATTTGTCCATAAGGGACCTGCCAGAATAATTGGAGCTGGCACAGTGTAGGGCCTTTGCTTTCCTTGTCCTTCGAAAGGAATAGGGAAGGGAAATGGGTGTCACGTGGCCGGAACCTGTTTGATGGGGGCCCATCGCTATCCTACTCACTGGGTAGAGGAAACATGATTCTTATATTGGAAAGTAGTAATTTGGTTCTCTGGTAAATCTTGTACAGATCTTGAGGAATTTCGGAACTACCTGGAGAAACGTTTTGACTTTGAACAAGTTACTGTGAAGAAATTCAGGACTTGGGCTGAGCGGCGACAGTTCAACCGAGAAATGAAACGGAAACAGGCTGAGTCCGAGAGGCCCATCCTGCCAGCCAATCAAAAGCTCATCACTCTGTCTGTGCAAGATGCACCCACAAAGAAAGGTGAGTTGTGGCTGGTAAATTTTGACATTGGCAGACTGGTTGTACTATTATTTTTCATTTGATGTTCTTAGAATGTGTGCTTTGTGCGTGAGTTGTGTTGAATTCAAAGCTTATGTTTATCCTTCGAATGCAGAGGTCCACCACATTCATAGTGGTAAGCCCCTAAATCACTGACTCCGTAACTTGGACGGTGTCAGGTCCTGAGTACTAGCTTACGGTGGGTCTTCGCATTGTTGCTGAGATGGTCCTTCTTGTCACAGAGTTTGTCATTAACCCCAACGGGAAATCGGAGGTCTGCATCCTGCACGAGTATATGCAGCGTGTCCTCAAGGTCCGCCCTGTTTATAATTTCTTTGAATGTGGTAAGTTTGACCTTACCCATCTCAGTCATAGAGAATCATGCGTGTCACTTTGGTCATGGCTAGGGAGGCGGGAGCGGAAAGGAATGAAAGGGAAGGGCAAGGAGAAGCATGTAGCAGATAGGCGGTGGGTCGTTTTCATGGAATGGGCCCCGTCGGAGGGTGAATCCTCTACTTTCCACACTGCCTTCCTCTTGTCCAGCCCCGGCTGCCTTGCTCTGAGGAAAGCCTTCCTGCTGTGTCTCCCGGTGGCCCTAGGCCTGCACTTCTCACCAGCTGTCTTCTGTGGCTGTCCTCATCACACCTTTGTGGAATCCAGTTTCTTCTCCCTTTGGAAGCCAGAACCTAGGCGTCTCTCCTCATTTATCTTGTCTCACTACATCTGTGCATCCCTGCCCCTCACAGTCCTCTGTCTGTCTTTCTTGGACATTGGTCCCTGTCCCTGCTGGCTCTGGCTCTGGCCTCCTGTTTCTCCTCCAGCTCACTATCCCATGGTCCCCCGTTTCCTGTGATTTTTGTGGTCGTGCTCCTGGCCTACTGCCCATTCCCTGGGCCCCATCTCCACGTGTCAGGGAGCACCCCGGCCTCTGTCTTCCAAGAGCAGCCCTGACCCCACCTTGTCTGTTGGTGTGAGCAGATTGTGTGTGTGTGGGCGCGTACGCTTTTAATGTCTTGGCAAGTGTGTTTTAAAACAGTAATTTTAATTTTAAGAGAACCCAAGTGAGCCTTTTGGTGCCTCGGTGACCATTGATGGTGTGACCTATGGATCTGGAACTGCAAGCAGCAAAAAACTTGCGAAGAATAAAGCTGGTAATGTGCCTGCTTGGGTGTCAGAGAACCATGCTGCTTGCCGTGTCTGCCCCTCCCCCTGGCTAGGGAGGGCTGAGCAGCAGCCCCTGTGGGAGGGCTGTGGGCGGGGCAAATCTATTTTATTTATGTAATCATCTACTTTGATTTTTTAAATTATGTGCTCATGGGAAAAGATTTAAATAGAGAAAGTAAAATGTGAGAAGTAAAAGTAGAAGGTCCTTTGTCCACTCAGTGACACTGGGCTGAAATCTCCTGCCCTTGCCCCTGCCACTCACAGATGTTGGGGTGTGCTCAGAGCCGACTGGGCCATGCTGGGCACATGTGCTAGTGTGGGTTTGTATTTAAACTGAGCAACATGTGGGCATGCTAGGAGACGATAAATGGGGATCAGCATGCTGTCAGTGTTCTCCTCGAGGGGTTGTGACATTTATGAGGATGATTTCCTGAGTCCTTCAGACTCCATATTTGGGACTGCCACTCACTGAACGTGGCATGGCAGACCTCTGGGAAAGCTTAGGTTTTCTGGTTAAATCCCCCTGCTCTTTTTGACCACCTACTTGCTTTCATGCCCAGCATTAGTAATCATTGACGTTCTTTTCCAAAAGCCGTTTTGCCCCAGCATCAGAGTTACTCAGCCTCTTCTGGGGAGTGGACCACATTGCAGGGTGGGTTTTGGGTGCACCCCAGGCCTTGGCACTCACACATCGGTTCTCATGGTTTCTACCATTGCCATGTTGTCCTCAAGAGCAGCTCTGCCCTTTACAGAGCATGAAATACGTCAGTTTTATCACAGTCTCACTAAGTCTTGGGGTCAGTGAAAGTGTTTTTGTTCGCTGGACTCAGAGTTTCCCTTGGTGTTGCTTTCTTTTGACGTTATATGCTGAGGACAATTGCAATAATACATTACTGTCTGTCTTTTCTCTGTGAGGCTGTACTGGGCTCACATACTCTGCCCTGGTCTCCCGGAAGGCCTACTGTCCATTTTAGAGAGCTTCTGCCGAAAGACTTTCTCAGCTCAGCACACTGTTACCGAGGTCATGGAGCAGATAACCTGCAGAGTGGGGTGGAGATGTCCTGGCGGCAGGGCCCTGCTGTGCTCCTCCCCACGTGTGGGGATGCACTTCCTCTGCCTAGACCTCAGCTGCTCTCTGGACACCTGTGCTCCAATGTTTTGCTGGCATTTACAGCCCTACAGGTTCAGACTGTTACACACACTCCCTCCCCCGCTCAGTGCCCTGCTTCCCCACCCCAGTGGCGAGTGGTACCTCTGTCTCCTTGGGCACCTGTGCTCAACATTGAGCCGTCCCTATGCTCTGCCGTGCCGACACTTTCTCCAGAGTATCCATCCGATCTGACTGCTTCTCCCTGCCACACTCATAGCAGCCTGCTCAGTCCTCAGTTGTCCCGACTTGGTCCAGGTCCTGCTGAGCCATTTGCCCACACACCACGACCGTGATTCCTCTGACACGTGGATCTCCTCTCCTCTTTCGCCTGCTACAAGTGCCTCAGGGTGAAAGCTTGTGAGGCTGCCCACAGCCTGATGCTTGCCCTGCTGCCTCCTTTCCTCGGGATGTGCTCTCTCTTCCACGCTCTGCTGTCCCTGCCTCTAAAGTGCTGTTCCTTCCCAGGGCCCTTGCTCTGCTCTGAGCCCTGCCCAAGAGCCAGTGTGCAGCTCGCTCTGGAGTTGGGAGTGGGCTGGGCCCAAGCCCTCACCCTTGGGGGTTTTCTTTTCATAGCCCGAGCTACGCTGGAAATCCTCATCCCTGACTTTGTTAAACAGACCTCTGAGGAGAAGCCCAAAGACAGTGAAGAGCTCGAGGTGAGTGTCATGACCTTGCCCTGTTCGGAGCTGTGGCTCTAGCACAGCCTGCCCTGCCCTGTTAATGTAGCTGTGCTCAGGGATTTAATCCTTCAAGCTCCAGGGCATTCTGTTTGTTCATAGTAAAAGAAGAAACTTGCTTGTCTTTGTGCAAGCAGGGGAAAATATGTCATTTTTGTCAGACATTTTTGTCCCCTGTGTCCCACCTTGCAATGGCTGTTAAGAAGTTGTGTGCACAGTAAATGTATTTGGGAGTGAATCAGCTCTCCCCTTACAGTAGCTCTCCCCTTACAGATCCAGGGTGGGAATGAACCTTGGAGGCAGAATCTGCAAAAGTTAGATTGTTCTTTACATGAAGAACCATTTAACCTATTTGTAAACCTTTTTGGGTAAATATGGTTCCAGTGTTATTTGTAGCAAGGACTTAAACTCTGAATCCATTCTTTTGTATAACAGCTTAGTTGATATATACTTTATATACCACAAATTTTGCCCTTAGAAACTATACAGTTCAGTGGAGTTTTGTATATTCAAGAGTTGAACAATCATCACAACAATCTAATCTTAGAATATTTTCATCACTCCAAAAAGAAACCTTGTACCCATGAGCAGTCACTCCCAATTCTCCCTGTCCCCCATCCCCTCACCGCCTGGCAACCACTAATCTACTTTCTGTTTCTGTGGATTTGCCAGTTTTGGACATTTCATATCAATGGATTCATACAACATGTGGTCCTTTGTGACTTCTTTCAGTTAGCATGGTGTATTAGCCATGGGTTTTATCAGATTCAGAAAGTTTCCTTCTACTCCTGGGTTACTGAGAGTTTTTGTCAGGAATGATGTTGAATTTTGTCAAGTTTTTTCTGCTTCTGTTGAAATGATCGTGTGGTTTTTGTCTTTTACTTTGCTAAGAAGGTGGTATAATACATTGATTTTTGAATGTTAAACCAACCTTGCCTTCGTGGGATAAATCCCACTTGGTCATGGTGTGTAATCATTTTGATGTGTTGCTGGATTTCATTTCCTAGTGTTGTCTTAAGGACTTTTGTAGATATATTTTTAAGGGATACTATGTAGTTTTCTTTTCTTGTGATATCTTTGTCTGATGTTGGTATTGAATTGATACTGGCCTCATAGAATGAGTTGGAAAGTGTTCCTTCCTCTTCCATTGTGTGGAATAGTTTGTGAAAGATTGGTATTGATTTTTTAAATACTTGATAGAATTCACCAGTGAAACCTTCTGGGCCTAGACTTTTCTTTATTTGAAGTTATTTAATTACTAATTCTGTCTTTTTACTTGTTATACATCTACAGGTATGCATCACTTAACGACTGGGACATGTTCTGTGGAACATGTCCTTAGGTGATTCCATTGTGTGAACATCACAGAGTGCACTTACACAAACGTAAATGGTATAGCTGACTACTCACCTAGGCTATATGGGACTAATCTGATGGGACCCCTGTTGTATATGTGGTCCGTTGTTGACCAAAACGTTGCTATGTGGTGCATGACTATATTCAGATTTTCTTTTCCTTCTTGAGCCAGTTTTGGGACTTTTTGTCTTCCTAGGAATTTTTCCATTTGATCTAGGTTATCTAATTCATTGGCATACATTTGTTCGTAGTATTCCCTTATAATCCTTTTTATTTTGGTAAGGTGGCAATGTCCCTGCTTTCATTCCTAATTTTAGTAGTTTGAATCTCTCTTTTCTCTTGGTCGGTCTAAAGTTTTGTCCATGTTGATCTTTTCAAAGATCCAACTTCTGGTTTTGTTGGGTTTTCCTATTGGTTTTTTATTCTCGATTTCATTTCTTTCTTTCTTTCTTTCTTCCTTCCTTCCTTCCCTTCCTTCCCTTCCTTCCCTTCCTTCCCTTCCTTCCCTTCCTTCCCTTC